TTTGATTGAACGTATTACTTTCAGATGTATTTAAAACCCCAGCACCATCCTGATTAGCAGAGTCAGCGCTAACCTGAGCCGCCATTGCATTCAAATGATTAACATGGCCACCAGCACTATACTGAGCATTACCCAAACCATAACCACCATTACTATTCAAAAATTCAGAAGAACCCAATGAATTTTCCACTATTGTAAAAGCGTTTTCTATATTCGTCTGGACACTATCAGACTGTACCACACTAGCTAACGAGCCCCTCTTAACCAACATGCCGCTGAGTGGGGGAAGTTCGCCACAACTCATATTTTCACTCGAATCACTAAACTCCTCCACCAATCTGTTAGATTCGCCCTTAGGTCTCTTGGTATTTTATTTTATTTCTTAAAAGATGCGCACACCATTTTGGACGCCATCCCAGACGCCTGAGCGTCCGCCATCTTTTATACAAAAACCGCTATGCCAAGTATAAAAATTTTTCGCCACACAGAAACTCACCCAAAAAGCAATGCTCAGGAAGCTGCAGCTACCAGGAACCACTCAAAATTAATACACACGTCAGAACACACAAATATCGGATCGTATAAACTTGAACCAAAAATTTAAACACAAAAGTATTAAATTAACAAAACTACCGTCACCACTGCACTTGTACAAAAATCCGCTGCGATCCGCTATCCACAAAAGTCAACCGCTCACCACCGATGCTGCAACGCAATTGAATCCACAACACAAAAAAATTTAAACAAAAACAGCTGATATGTAGTTTGACAGCACGGTGCTACCGTATGCGAAAAATATGAGTGGTGCAGTTTGCCACATGCAGCAAAAACATGATATTTTAATTAAACATTGAAATGCTATAAAACTTTTGAAATGCTGTTTATAATGAAAATTAAAGATGACAGTTACAGAACTGTATACAATGCACGTTGCATTATTCATTTTCCATTCCTAGAAAGTTTGAGATGATTGGAGCAAACCCATTTCTTGTGTGCCATTGGTAAAGAAACAGACGTACACTCCCAGTCATTAGGTTAGCACACTCTTTTGATCCTCAGTATGTAGAGGGCTCCAATACTAACATCCGTGCACGGATCGAAAAACATACAAAACAAAATAGAGTGATACGTCAGTCACATTACCTGAATGGGATAAAGTACGTTGACGTACATAGGTCATAATCCAAAAAATGTGTTTTTACGTAACGAGTAATCCGATATCGTATGTGACCATGATGCAATAATACAAGGTGTTATCGGTTGGCAACTTCTCGCTCTAATTCCGCCATAATGTGCCTTAGGTGAGGCAGTATTACTTCTTTAACAATTCCTTGCCTAATAATTAGTCTGTTCCTTTGATCTTCGGACTAAAACCTGTGGAACTGTCAAACTACAATTTTACGCTCTCAAATGAGAGTAAAAGGAGAACAGATGCAGAAGTGCATAGGAACGCAAAAAGCACTATTTCCTGTAAAAACGTCAGACGGTTTGATTACATGTCATTGGCACTACACTGATTTGGCTGAAATATCACTAAAAATTATTAAAATCTATA